CCTAAAATCAAATGGAATGGATAGGTGATCAAGAATGGTGTAGAAACGAGTTTGTTTACTTGGCATTAACCTAAACATGTCCCTTGAATCTGATTGGTTGATCGGGATGTTGTTTCAAATTGAACCATTTAATACATCTGCATGTTTTGAGTGTATAGAATATTCAGATTACATTTTACTTAACCTCCTAGGGCTTGAGCGTCCACATATGTGGACAGCACATTTTAGCTCTTAAGTGGCTATTTAAAATACTATGAATGTTTTATATTTTGTTACAGACAGTGTCATCCTGCAACTGTTTTGCAGTATAGGAAACGTCCCAAACACTATGTTTAACTGTCTAAAATGAGGAAAAAATAGTATTTACTCTCTGATAGTTAAAGCAAGTAAAAAAAAAATGTAAATGTTATATATGCATTAAAAACAATCAGGAAAAAGTGTTTTATGTAAATTCGGACCACGAGTCTACATATATGGACATCATTTTTCTCTAAAAGTACATCATATCAAAAGATTATACTTAGATTTTATTTTGATTAGGTTCTAATTATCCCAAATATCAAAGAGAAATAAAAAATGCATGTAAAAAAACACCTTGGGCCTTAAGAGATTATATGTGACATACTAACTAAATAATCAAACACTGTTTCACAAAATGTAATGCACTTGACCTTCCATTTCCACTGTGTAAAATGAACCAGAAGTTTTATATCAATAATGCTTTTAATATAAATAAACATAATTCACACACAATGGTATTTGTGTATATTTGCATTACGCTCAGATTATATAAGTACACCCCTCACAAATCTCTCTTTTAAATTCATATTTTAAATAGGAAGCTATACAGTATTATATTTGTGAATATACATTAGTACTGAAGCCAAATCTGGAGCTTATCTAACAAAGCAAAACTTACCACAACGGTCCAAAAACTAATACACCCTAATTTATAAGTTATAGACAAATATTAAATACTAATTTAAATAAGAGAAAAAATCAATGAAAAAAAATATGAAAAAATTTAGTTGAAATTTTGTATGTTGTAATTTCGTTTTTGCTTAAGTTTAATTGCATAATCTTTTAATTTCAATGTATGTTTGGTGACTAAAGTATTAATTTAATAAATACATCTGTTTAATACGTCTGTTTTGTTCAAGTGCAACAAAATGCATTGCCTATAGTCACTGAGAATTGGATAATTGGTGTACTTAATTATGCTGAATGCTGTATATTTGTACACTACCAGTCAAATTTGGAATAATGAATAATATAATAAACGTATTCTGCTCACGAAGACTGCATTTATTTAATATAAAATACCATACCATACCATTGTTATTTGGGAAACTGGTAGAATACCATTCAATGTCCAAGTACCATTTTACCTAAAAGTGCTTTTTTATTATGAGAAATTGTTCAAGAGTGAGTTTAAAAGGTAAAAAAACAAACTAAGAAAAAAAAAAAGATTGTAAATAAAAGTCATTATTTTAAAATTTTGTTTCTGTGAACTTTCGAAACGATTATTTTTATGAAAAAATTTTAGCAAATAAAAATGTGTCAGTTTCCATGATACTAGCCAAAAAAAATTCAACGTAGTAAAAAAAAATTCTGTAGTGATTGTAAGAATCTTTATTAGTGATTTCGCACAAATAATAACTGATCATAGTAGAACAGCAAATCTTCATAACATAATACTTTCTGAATCTTTAAATCACAGGAATCAGGCTTTAAATCACAGGAATACATTGAATTTGAAACCAAAATTTTTTTTCAAAAATTTGAAAAAAAAAATCTTTAAATTGTAATAATTTTTCACAATTTAACAGCTTTTTAACTGTATTTTTGATCAAATAAATACAGCCTTGCTGAGCAGAATTGTCTTGTTTTACAACATAAAATATCTTATTGATTTTTTAATTTTTTAATGTTAGTGTATTTCTGTATACATGTATTTATTAAGATTCTTTCTTTTACTTTTAACAATTGGTGAAGTTTGTTCCTTGCCACTGTCACCACTAGCTAGATTAATTTAAGACTTGTGCAGCTGCACATCAATGGATTTGCTCTTCAGTGTTTGGACTTTCTGCAGTAAAAATTAAACCACACTGAACAGAACTAAACTGAATTTCAACTCTGAAAACTGGACTCAAACAATTTCAGTTTATTAGAACGTCTATGCAAAGCTGCTTTGACACAACCTGCATTGTAAAAGTGCTATAGAAATAAAAATGAATAGAACTGAATTATTAATTTAATCTTTTAATAAATATTTATTTTTATTAAGCAGCGGTTCATTCCGCTGTGGCGACCCCGGATTTATAAAGGGACTAAACCAACAAGAAAATGAATGAATGAATATTTTTATTAAGCATTTTTAAAGAATTAAAAACGCACATATGTCAATGATAATTTCTGTATTGTCAAATTATATTTATTTGACTAGATGCCATTCATTTTAAAAGCTTACATTTAAATAATTTATATTGTTAAATTTATATTTAATGCTTTATTAACCGCTTAAAGCTTCAGCATCGTATTTGATTTACAGATTGAGAGACAGACGGTGACAAAACACTGTCAATAAAATCTGAGAATTAGCCATTGTGTGTGTTTTGGCATACAGATCTGTGGGTGAGAAATATCTAAATGAAAGTGCTTGCAAACGTTGGACTTGTTTTTTTTTTTATTTACTGCCTTCATCAAGACCCTTCTAAAAGCATCAGCGGTTGAATTCTAGCAGATTGAGGATATTTACTGATATAATGAAAGCTAAGTGGCAGAATGGTGTTGTGGATGCTCTGATTCTTCATCTGATTGTCATTCTGCATGCGACTCTTCACTGCTGATGAAGCTTCTGGAGGCTTTTGCTCTTAAAGCATGAAACTGATTACTGAGCTATTAAATGCAGCCCGACAACAAAGTCCATTCTCTACTCTGCTTTACATCATTGTTTGAATCTCTTTCCTGCTGATTTCTCCCTCTTTGAGAGAGAGACTAAAGGAGAAAGTGTTTGGTGGCTCTTTGTCTCCTCTGTCAGTCAAGCTGATCTGGGCTCTGATTAAGTTGCTCTAATTGGACTTTGCTTCAGAATCGACGGGTGAACAATGAGACACTTTAATGAACGGCTCGTGCTGCGGTTTGTGCTGTCGTTTCACAAACTGAGAGAAATCGCTGTGCCATTAGCACCGAATCACATGCCAAGAGGCGTAGATACAAAGAACTTTATCCTTTAAGTCAAAGAACAAACCAAATAACTAAAAACTCTCTCAGAACACATAAACTCAAGCGCTCAGAAGTGCTTTGTTACAAACTAAAAGACGTCATTGAGGTGTTTCAGGCACTTGAGATGTGATTTTCTGCTTAACCTGTAAGCTCTGAGTTGATTTCTCTGTGTTTTTGTGCTTTGCATGAGCAGAAAGACAGAATGTCTCTGTTTGAAGGCCAGAGGCTCTGCAACTGCTCCAACACTCCACACACAGATGGTGCCTTTACATAACGGACGCATTCATTACATCCACATCATTTCTCAAATCTCACGCTGAAATCATCTCGTCCTTCAGTTTAGAAATCACATGCAACATGTCAGAAGTGTCTTAAGGTCACCAAACAAAACAACCTCCATCTTTTGTACAGGCAGCATCTCTGACGTGACATTTGAACAGTCAGACGGGACTCTCTTTATAGCGGGCGACAAAATAAAGGTCGTGAAAATCTGGAGCCTCATTAAAGGGTTCGGCATGTTTCAAAAGGTTCAGTCAAAGGATCCTGCAGGACGTCAATCAATAGAGCAGCAGTAATGAAAAAGGCTCATTAGTGACACGAGAGCATGTGTAGAGCTTTCAAAAGATGCCAATCCTGTTGTACTGTAAATCACAAGACTGTCAACAAGCAATTGATCATCGCGTGTCCTGTAAACAACTGAAAGCTTTATGAAGCGCAAGGAAAAGATTTTGAGACAGAACATCATGTGCTAACTCTTGTGAGAAACAAGCACACTTTAGCACGTCTACTTTAAAAAGAATATATTTGTGTTATTTTCTGACATACTGCATAAGCACATGCTTTTTTACATTAAAATTGAAATGTACAGTTTAGGATAGTCATTTTAATTACAGTAAATACAAAGCATTACACTTCATTCACAAGGGAAACATATCAGCTAGACTGCTACATTTTCCTCATTAGCACTGAACATTTCAAATGTAATTACAGGTAATGTTATAACTATAAAGTCTCTTAAAAACCTGCTACAGTAGATAATCCAGCTTAAGCAGTTAGCTGTGTTTTTGAAGATGCTAGCTGGCTAATATGTTACAGAGAAGCAGAATGACAGTCTTGTACATAACACAACTAAAGCCGGCTTTTCCAGGAGGCAAAGATGAGAAAGAAATGCAGAAAGAAAAGCACCGAAATGTTTGTGTGTGTGTGAAAATGATGAGGGTCTTAACCTTATTAGCAAACTGAGCAACTGCTTCCCAGAGAGCGTTTACAGAGTAAAGCACATGATTAATATTACATGCCTGCTGAAACACACACACACACACACATTTGGAGATGAGTGAGCAGACGGCAGGAGAGCGACAGACAGAAGCCCAGAGAGATTGATGCCTACATTCAAATGAATACAGAGAGCTGACAGGAACCCAATGGAGCGAAACGAGTCGTCCAGAACAAACACACTCACACTTACAACTACATACAGCACACACACAAGTCAATACAGCCACAAACACACACTTTCACAACACACGCAAGGTGCGTGCCAAGGTGCCAAGACCAAACACAGACGCACGCGCCTGCAGCACTTTGAGGATCAATAACACAAGAACTGTGTTGATATCGACACTCTTCACTTCTTTACACCAAAACGAAACATGAAGTCACACAGAACCGACAGCAGGAACAATGAAAAATCTGATGAGAAGAACATTTATCACCAGTTTTAGCAGCGTCACTGAAGCCAGATAAAGATGAAGACATTTCACCGGCCGGCTTACCTAATTTGGGGAGGGAATATTTGACTTTGAAGTAATCCTGGTAAAACTGCAGGAGTCTCTTGGTGATGCGCAGAGCGTAGTCACCCGATCCGCTCTGGATGGCATCAGGTCTGGCGTACAGCCGAATCTACAACAACAACACAACAGAGAACAGAAGTCAGAATGAACTCTTGTTCAGCTCCCTTGATGAGAATTGTAGAATAAGCCATGGTGAATTTATCTACCAAACGCCTTCATCTGGCTGAATATTTCATTCATCTTTCAAGTGCATCCGCCATCTATTATGCAAAACATTAAAAACTAGAGTGCCACAAAATTAAAAATCAATCATTTTCACCCAAGAACCTTTTTTTTTAAGCAGGGCAACCATGATTGCAATGTTATTATTGAATTATGAAAAACTGCTACCCATAAATCTTAAAAAAAAAGATTCACCAGAAAAGTTGCTTTTACCAGTGGAACTGAAGCCTGTTCTCTATATTTATTTTATTGTTTATTTATTTATTTGCAACTTATTTATGTGATTTTTACCATTATTACTCCACTCATCTGTGTCTTATCCTTCGCAAATCATATAAAAACTTTATACTGATTTAATGCGTAAAAATGACATGTAGTCATCAAATTCACAGAATGTGTTTTATGTTTTATCAGAGATACCCAAACTAGGGAGCTCATGCCAAAGTTGGCCCATAGTAACCTTTGATTTGGCCCGCCATCCAATCTGAGAAGATTGATGAGAATGATGGGCATGATTTCGAGATTGTCTATTCCAATGCAATGCAACCGTTTGTTTGTTTGTTTTATTGTTAAAAGCTGCTATTAAATGCTTCAATTAAATAATGTAAATGAATCAGATTTTGTTCAAATGTACATACTGTCACCTGACAATGCAGAGAGTTTGGTGAGCAAATAAAGCCAAAGGCAGATTCTGCTTGACTAGTGTATTCAGTATTGAACACCAATGTATAGAAAATGTGATTGTTTATGTTTTATTGCAATAAGTTTCCATTTAATTTAATTTATTTCCAAATTATCCGTGGCAACTTTAATGTATTATAGTTTGGTATATTTACCTTCGACCCGTGGATCTCAATGATATTGAAGTCTTGCACATATGTGCATTTCATTTTTAAAAATGCTTTAGCAGATTTCAGTCTTATTGTCCCCAAAACCATCAAGATACTTTATATGTTATTATTCATCTATAGTATTCAGATACTGCTTATATATTTTAAGGTTTCTCAATAAAATGTTTTTTTTCATGTCTTCAAGCTGGTTGGCTTGGTTTCATGGAATTCAGTGACCTATACTGATTACTGCTTTAAAACCTTTGGCATATAAAAAATTACTGGGGGGAAATAGATAATCAGCTCTTGTGCACTTTTATAAAACTCAATGCTATTAAACTTCAGCTGTTGAAAAATGCCATTTACAACTATAATATGTCTTATTTCAATTGTAAATATGCATTTACAGTAAATTAAGTAGAAATCTGAAATGTTAGATTAATATTAGAATTCAACAGAGATCTTTCATTCTGTGTCAGCAGTAAATAATTAAATGTGTGTGAGAGAGGAAGTGAGAAAGGTGAGAAAACGAGTGTGAAAGAGGAAGTGTGTGAGGTGTGGCTCACTGGGAAATGTATTCCCCCTGTGAAAATGATCTTGGACTCTTTTAGCCGAAGGCTTTCTGAACGGTGCAGCTTTCTGAACGGGCATCCATCTAGTCTGAATGAATGTCCTCCTACACTAACAGAGTCAGCCTGCAAAACAAGCAGAAGGAAAGCCTTTGTTTTACAGCCTGGCAGCAATGCGCATTGAATTGTGTGTTGTTTACCGCACATGTTGCTGGCGTATCGATCAGCTCCATGTCTGATGTAAAGATGAATGGCTGGCACTTAGAGCAGAGGAAATGATTGGAAGCTCGATCAAATCAATGTGATTTTAAAACAACCTGTAATTAGACAAAGCGCTCAAGTTGACGATCAAGAGGCGCTTCATTAATCAGCCGTTGTGGAGATTGTTCGCTGACTCCAGTGTCGACTGCTTCATCTGTTTGTTTGTTTGCTTTTGTTGACGGCAGCGTGACAGAGACTTAAATGGGGTTAATTGAACTGTAATAGACAGATTCTCCACGAGCCGCTGCTCAACATTGATAATAAGCTCTTTTTGATGAAGCTTTAGTTGACATTCAGAACACCACGATGAGCTCTTGACCTGAAGCAAACAACCTGTTGAGTTATTATGCTATACATGTCTGTATATGAGAGATACTTCACAGATACTTTACATAATCTTTTCTACATCTGTCTGATTGAACTTTAGTTAATATTGATCCATGTTAGAAAGTCTAGCTACTAGTTTATTATTAATTTGTTGTGTACAAGAGTAGTTTAGCAGCTTGCCTGACATTCATGCAGTTATAAGCTGATGTTTTAACTGAAAACCTACATTTGTGTGTTGAGGCATTAGTATTCTACTGCTAAAACCATCATTTTGCCCATTAAATGCTGTAAACATGCTTTTTGATCTGGGTGAGTAATTTCATGAATATCTAATGAGCACATGTAGTATGGTGGTGCTGAATGTTGATTAGATATTAGCGGAACATTTGTCATTTTAATGATAAGATAAATAAAAACTGACTGACACTAAACCAGAGGATTTAATATCGGCTGATATTAAACACGGTGTTGTGAATCAAACATGATGCTTTCAGACAATCAGATTACAAGATCCTTTTGTTTTAGCAGTTTTGGTAATATAATATCCAATTGGTTGTTTTTTTTTTGTGATGAATTTGTTTGATAGATGGTTGGCTGGATAGATGGTTGATTGGCTGGATGGATGGATGTGCCTTGTACTGTGTAAATTACGAAAATATAAACAACACTCTACAAAATATAATAGTGAAACTAAATTGTACATTTAGGGGTGCAACATCTCGTCACCTTAAAATGACATTGTATAACTTTAAGAAGCGCACAGTAGTACCTTAAAGTAATTTACATAATCATTTAAATAAATCACAATCAACAAAACAACTCTTCAAATAGAAAGATCTTATTTGTTATTTTTCTAGTCCTGAAAATAATGAAGAATGAAGAATATATAAATATATAACTTTTTTATTATACAGTTGAAGTCAGAATTATTAGCCCCCCTTTAATTTTTTTTTTTTTTTTTTAATATCTCCCAAATGATGCTTAACAGAGCAAGGGCATTTTCACAGTGTGTCTGATCATATTTTTTTCTTCTGGGGAAAGTCTTATTTGTTTTATTTTGGCATGAATAAAAGCAGTTTTTAATTTTTTAAAAAGTCATTTTAAGGGCAAATTTATTAGCCCCTTTAAGCTTTTTTTTTTTTTTAGAAATGTGTTGAAAAAATCTTCTCGCCATTAAACAGAAATTGGACAAAAAAAAATAAACTGGGGGCTAATAATTCACAAACAATAAATTCTTAAATCCTCTCCCTCATTTGCCCATTTTTTAATTGAAATGTATTCCTTGCTTAAAGCTACACAATTATCCAACAACAACAACAAATCTGCAAGTTAATTGAAAATTATGACAATATAATGCTTACAGTAAGTTAGTCTTTGATGCTTTCTGTGTTTTTGTTTTATTTTGTACTTCCCCTTTCTTCATTTTGTTCTCTTTTCTTTTCTTTTTTTCTTTTCTATTTCTTATTTGTTACTTATTGTTCTTATCACTTTGTATGTACTTGTATTCCAGTCTCCTACAGATTACCCCCTGATTTATATTGCACATTTCTTATTTTCTAAATAAAAGTAAAAAAAAAAGAAAAAGTACCTTAAAGAATACAATTGATTACATCAAAGTACTTCTGTAAACCTTTTTTTTTTAAATTTAAAATGTAAAACAGTACAGAATATTCAATTCTTTCTTCTTTTCTTCTGTTTATACTTCTGAAAAGCATATTAAGCATAAAGATATGGTGTAAAATAAACCCCATGTACCAAATAGCTAAGAACAAGCTAAACAGAAAACAGGTGTAATCTTTGATATTCCATCCGTTTCACTTTTGAATTGATGTCTATGCCTCTGGATTGATGGATATATAAACAACTGGACAAACAGATAACATTTTAACTACATCAATAACTGTATATTCTTCATTAATTTAGAATTGACTATAGTTAAAATTCACAACTACCATCTAAACATTTAGCATCTTTGTTTGGCTTGCAATGTTTAGAATACTGTATATTTATTTAAAGGGCACATATTTTACCCCTTTTTCAATATTTAATATAAGTCATATGTGTCCCCAGAATGTGTCTGTAAAGTTTTAGCTCAAAATACCCATCAGATTATTTACCATAGCTTTTTTTGAATTTGGGAAATTTGATCTGTTGTGGTGCTATGGTGGTGAATTACATTGTGTTGTTACTGTCTCTTTATATTACAAACATGCACTGTTTTAAAAACATTTTAAACTTGTAAAACTAATTTTTGAGGTGCCGATTATCACAGAGAGCTGATCCCAGTTGCTTTTCACACATCCTGTCTTGTGGATATGATTATATGAGTTACTACAGAGACATGTTACGGGGCTGCCAATCAATTCGGTAGGTGGAGAAAATTGCACTCCTATTTTAAAATCAGGAAATAAAAAAAGAGACTTATTATGTTTTTATCACTCCAGTATGAATGTGGAAACACTATACCTGCACACCATTCTGTCTAAACAAATTCTAAATTGTAAATAAATATACTGTGTATATATAACTTTTTTTCACCATGCCTCATTAAATTCCAAAGTACAAGTATAAATGAATTGCTGTAAGTTTAAAGATGACAACAAACAAGCCTGCAGTTCTCAAGAAACACAATCTCAGGCATCATTAATCCACTCAACACACAGATCATTATGCTGGAGGTAGAGGAAGATGAGGCAAATGCATCAATAACTGTGCTAATAAATGCATAAAGTTCAAATTCGTTGCTGTAAAACGCCAAAACACAACTGCTCAACTGACGCCTATATGACCTGTGGGTTTTTTATGATCTCTGTGGCATTTTGTGTTTCTTTGTCTATCTGTTCCTGTCTGCTCCAGATGAGCATGGCCAATTATAATCAAATGGATGTAGTGATTGATCA